GCGCAGCTTGCCAAAACTGTTGAGTGATGCGTGGGTGCTTGTCAGTTATTCCATCGAACCTCGTTGTCGCACTGTGGCCACCTCTGTTTTTGATGTCGTGTTCCTGCGATGAGTTCCCGCGTGGTGAGTGGTGAGCAGCGGCGGAAGCGGTCCTGTTACGGGCCTGAAGTTTTGATGTGGGTGTTTCCTAGTAGGGGTTTCCCACAGCACGGGTGTTGAGGTGGAGCTCTTACTTTTGGGTGGGGTATTGGGCGGTGAGACGTGAGATATCAAGAGCTTCATACAAAGCGCATGCACGTGCTGGGTGCGTTGCGCCAAGCAAGCTCCTGTAACATTTCGGTGTTCATGACATAAGGAAGGTCTCGGTTCCAGTGCTTGTTTCACCGCTTCTTGGGGCGGGAGCACATACAGCCATTTTGGTGGGCGCGTACTGCAAAGGCGGCCACGCAAACAGGCACACATGGAGAACACGCGCGAGACACGAGCTAAAGGAACATGTCATTCAGAGGGATGATTCGAGGTGCATATGGCCACGCTCTATTACGCAACGAAGCCAAGGGTTATCGTGGCTATCCTGTGTTAGCGAAGTGAGCTAGGCGCTTAATCGCGGGTTGATGGCCTCGGTTGTCGTACAGTGCAAGAGTTAAACTTCAGCAAACCACGTTGGTAGGTCACTCCCCGCCGACATCATCACTGGCGCGGCATAGGTCATCGCCAATCCCTCTTGCGTACAGCGGCCTCGGCCTCCGCGAACCAGGCTCGCTACCTTCCTCACAGCCAGGAACTACGTTGCCACTGGAAGGTACCCCGTTGCACCAAGAAGGCTTATTGTGGCGCTCGCCTCGGGCTTATGTGTCCCGTTTCGGATAGCACAGCATCAGCACCACGAAAAACCTGTCGATATGCATAACAAAAAATCACACACACACACCCCAACACACACATACTTACAAACACAAACACACACAAACTCACAAACACAAACCACACACTCACTCTCTTTCTTTTTCTTGTCATGCAGAAACACACAGACGCACACCCACACCCACACACATGCACACACGCGCACACACATGCACACACGCGCACACACATGCACACACACACACACACACACGCACACACACACACACACGCACACGCACACGCACACACACACACACACGCACACACACACACGCATACACACACACGCACATATACACACTCACATACACACGCACACGCCACACTTAAGTCGAAGGAAAAAGGCACGAAGTCGGACTGGAGCCTTGTAATGAGTGATGCCGTTACCTGGATTACAGTCCGGTGTAGAACCATGGGACGTGCAATGATATGGAGTCTTAAAAGCTCGGCAACCAGATGGACGCCGCTGCATGCTGGCTACTGCTTTCAGTATCACCCTGGCTGGCAGGCCCCTTTCGATCAGTTTCGCATCCGCAAGGCCAGAGCATGCAGCATCGCCAATGGTTTGACCACCTGCTCCCGTAGCTTAAGAACCGAACACCGTATGCCAGTGCCATGGTTCCAGTACTCCCCCAGAAAGGCAGGACGACACACACAAATAGGCTACCCGCTGTCCCTTGTCTATCTGATACTGCCCCGCGATTTTATGCATAAAACTGCTGGTCACAAGAGGTTCGTCTTTGTTCCTTTCACCACGGTTTAATGGATAGCCTGAAGCTAAGCATGCGTGGAGTGCTGAACATGTAGCGTGCGTTGTGAAACCCCTGGCAAAAGAGGTAACAAACAGAGGGCGTGCTGGCGTTCCGTTCAGTACTTCAGAGGTCAAAGGCAAGCCATGGGCAAAGTAGGAGCTTTTCCCAGGTGCCAGCCTTAGGCTCCGACGTTTGGAAGCCCGTGGCCGATTGTAAGTTGCGAAGAGCTCATGCGTTTGGTTGAGGCCGCCCGTCCTCCCTTGATCGGATGTGTTGCTACGACAGGTTGCTACGGACGTGCTTGTTGCCTTCCTTCGGTCCTAAACGGCCTCCGGTTCGGCGCTGTCGCCCTTTTGCGGTCCAGCAGAGCTTGGACCTTGTGTTCACCGGCCCTGTCCGGGATGGAATGCCCTTTGCCGTCCTAAGCAGCGTGACCCATTATATCAGCTTGCTTCCTAGCAAGGACAACAGCTACTGTCCTCCCGTCCTACGGTACTGGTAATGAGTAAAGGCCGAACAGCTAGGGTCAAACATGGAGAGACCACTTTTGGCGCCTAAAGAATGCTTTGCAGTGCGTATCAAAATCCATGTTCAGCGTGCACGTCACAGCATTTATACAGTCGCCACTGAGTTATCCTTGCATCAGAAACTTGTATGAAACTTGCAAGCAGGTGTAGCAAATCGTTCATGCCAATCTGTGCAGGTGCAGATAGCTGTTAAGCGCATGTGTTGCAGGTGTGCCATGTCTGTATCCTGCGATCTCTGTTAGGTAAGCGCCCTGTCCCACGGACAGGACAGGGATACGGCGTGCGTACGGCATCAAGATTTGCTTGCAAAACAAAAGCGCTGGTTGCCTGTGTTTCCGGTATCAGTTCTCTCCTTTGTGCAGCAGAGTCTGATCACCTTACGAACATCTAAAATGGCTTTCGCTCTCGCCACCTCGCGCAAGGCTCTGCAGGTCGCATGCAAGGCGACCGGCAAGAAGGCCGCTGCTAAGGTCCGTTTTATTTCGACACCATTTATTTTATCAGCGTACCTTACATAGACGCACATACGTATTTGCAGTGTCCTTTGGCTAACCAGAGACGTTTGTTCCGTTCGCAACATCTTTACAGCCGGCTGCCCCCAAGAGCTCTGGCATCGAGTGGTATGGCCCGAACCGCG